GCTCATGTCATAGCCCCCATATTTTCCAACATTATAAACAAAGCCACAATGACCTTCTTTACAGTCAAATATTGAGATGAGTGTCTAGAAATTGCAAAGATTATGGGCATTAAAAAAGTTTAAAAAAATATATTGTCATTGCTTTCACTGAATGTTCCAAGTTGTCCGCAGCCTGGTGTTTGCCATTTTCTCCTTGTCCATGGTTTCAGAGATAACCTGTCTCTTTCTGGCTCCAAGATTTGCTCTGTGCTCACCTTTCAACAAAATTAGCGGTGTCACATCTGATTTGAGTTGGGGCTTTTTCTGGTAGATTTACTTATTCCATTAGTAATTCACTCATATGTCAGGTGCAGATTCAGTTTATATACAGACTAGGTTTGTAGACTCAGTTTGTATTTTTAGAGCTGACTCCTGTATTGCTAACTACTAAGCTTTATAGGAAGAGTTCCAGACAGGACTGAGGAAGTTAGATACTGACCAAGGCTTATGATAGCTACAAAATCTTTCTCTGTAGAAATAGAGATATTTGGAATAGGAACACATTGATTCTTTGACCTTCCTGGAATGCTCCCCTATCTGCAGACTCTACCTTGGCTTCCAGACTCAGGAAATCACAGTATGAAATTCAGAGGATGCCTCTCTGAGTCACCCACCATGCTGGGCATTGGAAAGACAAAGAGAATTCAACCTGCTCTGTGTCTTGAAGAAGCACAGTCTGTTGAAGTCAACATGTGAACATTTATAGGATAAAATTAAATTTACCACCATTGGCCTAGTAAAGGGGGCCCTTATTCTTTCACAGGGTATCAGAGGGGCACAGAGAGATCTGCTAGTGTGGGACTCTGCAGGGTAAGCAAGAATTTGCTGTGCAAGTAGATGGAGGGCAGGGCATCCATGGCAGGCAGAAGAGCATGTGCAAAGTTATGGGGGCTTGAGCACAGAGGCCTGCTTGGGCATGATGAGCAGACAAGGATGGGAGGACAACTGAGTATTTGAGGGAGGGAATCATAAGAAGGAATTGGTGAAGCATGTAAACATCAGCTCATGAGCAGCCTGGCATGCCAAAATAAGGACTTGAGATTTTTTTTCCTATAAAAGTGGATCTGAAGACTGATAGGAGAACAGCTAAGAGTTTCTACTAAGAGTGCCCTGACTCTTTGGTGACAACTTGCAAAGTATATTATGTGTAGACCTTCCTTAAATCCTGACACCAAGCCCATGAGGCCTGTATTTATTTTTATCCTCACCTTACAGATGAGGAACTGCAGGTGGAAGGAGATTGTTTAACTGACCTCCCTAAGGTCCCTACCTGTAAAAGGCAAAGTGGGAAGTGGACCCCAGACCTAACACCAGAGCTTGCAATGTAATCACTATGGTGCTGCACCTCCCTGTTGGTAGCAGTACTTCAGAACCACCACCAGGCAGCAAAGTTGGGGTTGTGTTGGGAGCAGGTGGTTGGGAGGCATAGAGAAGCAGCTGGTAGAGTGGCCAGCGGGAGAGCAGAGGGCCTCTCCTAGGCAGCCTTGGTGCTGTGCAGAGGAGAGGGGCTGTGGGGGACACAGAAGAGGATGTTCAGGGACCCTGTCAGCCACAGTTTTCCTCCTTGAATTTCCAGAGAACTTTGTGTCTCTTTCCCAGGGCTTGCTTTTGCCATGTCTCCACAACAGCTGTGTGCATCTTATCGCATCTCGTATATTTTAAGTTCCTAAAGGGCAGGAGGAATTATGCTTTATTTGCCTTAATATATATATTTTTTGCATTGCTGAGCACAGTGCTTTCGTAAATGAATGAATTCCAAAATTATCTTTTTTCAGATCATTTCCCCTTACGTATGCATCTTAGAAGTTCGTAGCAAGTTAAACATTTTTTCCTTTTAAAATACGAAAATAATTTCTTTGCACAATCTACTTTAAACTACTTTAAAATATGAGAAAAAGTAAGACTGGGAAGTTGTTTCAAAGCAGCAAACCCCTTAAGAGTCAATGTCACATTTATTGCTATAAAATATTTTTCTCTCTCTGTTAGACATCTGGTTCCCATTACGTACAGTATTGGGTACTTGAGTTCACCAGCCATTTTGCATACGAAGCAGTGTGCATGCAAAATCTCCACCAACATCCCTCAGTACGTATTTGTACCATGCAGTTTTTTACATTTACAGACAATCCTTCCATCACCAACTAAATTCTTACCAATATGCTTTTGAGATTATTTTGTTCAGATTTATTTTAAGGACCAAATTGTCCACATCTGAGAAGTTAAGAGCTTCAAAATTATGGAATCTTTGCTTTATGGCACTGGATAGCCCAACTATCTATAATCTAGCACTGAAGTCAGTGACACATCTAAATCTTAAATCTCTATTTCCTAGAAACCCTGACCCAGAAATGAGAAACACAATATGGAATGTTTGTTAATGAGTCATGAATTTCATTATAATCGCTTCCACATTCAGGATAGCTCCCTTAAACCGTCTAATCTTAACACATCCTGTAACAATCCCATGTGTTGTAAATGATTTTGTTTTATTTCTTAGGTTTCTGTTAAGGACTTATTTTACGGTTCATTTCATTTTCTTAAAGAAAACCACACACGTGTGCATGCATGCACATACACACTCTGATGTGCACACATGTACACACATATACATCATTGAGTCTTTAGCCTCAATCTGTATTTTTTGAAATAAAATAATTATGAAACCCAAAGGAGCCCTCCTCATTTGCTTTGGAAATAAAAATAAACACATTTAGGAAGAAAGTTGAAATATACTCTCTTTTAGCGTTCTAATCATGTGTCTGAGAGTTAAAGCCAGCACTGAGCTGTGCTTCAGCAAGCAAGAATCGGTACCCTCCCTGTGCTGGACTTAAGAATCCGTAACTGAATGGACGGACACAACTAGTATTCAGTACGGCAATAATGGAAAATTAAATACGACTTTTAAAAACTGCTCACATTATAAAGTGATCTATTAGCATTATATGACTTCAGCACTTAAAGTGACTGATTCTAATTGCACGATTTGGCCCATGGCAAGCATTAAAGAGCTAAAGAATCTTGTGGGTATTTTATCTCTTTTGGGATATTTTAAAGTGAATTTTCTTTGGAATAAAGCTTTGTTCCTGCCACATAAAAGATGGTGCAGAAGAAACC